ATAATAAGCCCTTGATAAATTTATATTTTGGCATTCTTTGACAATACATCAATCTTATTACTAGTTTAATGATATGTAAATAAGACAGTGCATAAATGAATATTAATCGTGATATATCGTACGGCACTCTTTCTTGTGTGAAGTGTAAATATGTGTTTAATTTGGAATTTAGTATACGTACAAGCAGCTGATATTTAAAGCAACTCAACATTTAAAGTGATTCTCAAATTATAACTTATATCAAAGCCAAGACAAATATTGAATACGTACAGTGCATAAGTTTCATTTGTATCTATGATCTATAGAGTTAATTGGAGTTTATTCATTCATTTATTGATATTATTAAAAACTAATTTTTAGATGGTATATTTTTAATAAGCTGTGTCACGTGCTCACATTATGTATTAGGTGAGCCCGCATTTATACTTCTATGCCCATTGATGTTACCATCTTGGACACCCTGTAATCGGTTGCGATGCAGAGCGAAGGCGACAATTATCAAGACAGGCTCACTGTGTATTGTAAAGTGCAACATCTAGTCCCGAGCGCATAGAGACCATGTATTATGCGCTATATAAGTCTCCAACCATTACCATTACCATTACACACAACTTTGTGATCTTTGGAAGTGGGAATTTTTGATGGAAACTTAAGACGACGATTAATGGAAGAGCTGTTGCCAATGATGCAAAATAAGTTGTAAATGTATATACGTAGACCATAATGTGAACGATGCAAGATGCTATGTTAAACGTTAAGTAATTCAGTTAACTCATAATAACTGTTGCACGAATGTACCAGCGTCTAGCATACATATTGTTATTGATATTTGATAATGTAAGCTTTTAAGCAACGACTGTTCATCCAGTGCTTCTGGTCAAGTCACACCGTACGATACATGCTTAGATCTTTGACATACAACCCAACTTTTTTTGTAGATTCTTCTGCATTTTTTATATATTGAGTAACAAATTGAACAAGATTTTGTCCACTTAGAGATCACACGTCAATACGTTTTGTATTAGTTAATCACGGTTCTTAAAAAACAGGAAACCCGTGAATAACAGAAGGGATATACATAGTATTTTTGACACATGCGCATTTCCTAGGGGTAGTAGTGTAACCCCCCACGGGAGCACATGAGGGGAACTTCCTGATCACCGTTTGAACAAAAGCTTTGCACGTGAACATTACACCTACACATTCATGTGACATGCTAGTAAATCTATTTAGAAGTATAAATCTAAGGATAGTAACAGATAATGAGAAAGATATCACCTCAGGATTATTTTGATGAACGGTTTCCTTTCTTGATATTTCAAGATTGATCGAACAATAAAAACGACAAATTGTTGTAATTGGCAATTGCATCACCTTTCTACCTTGCTATGGCGAAGAACCTCAGGTGTATATACTTATTTGCAGCTAAGATAGACTTACAGTTAACACTGATTAGCTGAATAAATATTTTAACGTTATAGGCTAATTATTGTGTTGTGTCTTCCCTTAATAATTAACACGTAGGATCGTCTTATTGGTTGAAAGTTTGATTACCATAAGTTCAGAAGCATTTTGATTGGCGTAACATTATTTATTGTGGACACGCGAGCGTTTGTTCGAGACGAATGCATGACTCTTTGGTGACTGACAATTGATGTAATTATAATAATAGCGTAGTAATTATTATTATTGATATTATTTATTATTATAATTATATTACAAATTTATCATCATATCAAAAATATATTATTAATTATTCGAAGCACAGTGATGGTATACTTTTGATATGATGATAAATATTATGTAATATAATTAATATATTTTAATATACAACATCAACAGCACTACCAACACCAACAACAATAATAAATAATAATTTATAATTATGATATTCAATTAATAATGATATACCGGTGTGGTAGCGCTAGTTGATCTCTGTGCTTCGAAATGAAAAGAATGAAAAAGACTGTACAAATAACATAGGCCTAAACATAGACAAAATTTATATTATATGAGTACAGATTAAAATTATCCAGCAGGAACGTTTCCTTGTTTGTATCCTCTAAACAAAGAAAGAATTGTAGACTCGCTGATGTGAAGTGGAAGGGAATTACAAAGTTAAAGAGCAACATTCAGATAGAAATAACGCTCACCACTAGAAAGATGCCGCATGGATATGGACCTTCGAAAGCCAGAGTAACTCTGTGAGCGTAATGGGAGTTGGAATGTAGCAAGAGGAAAGATTATGGAGAGCCTTACGTGAAATTTCATTTTGCGTTTTGATTGTAAAGCACAAAATTAGGAGAAATGAACACGCTAAAGACTAACCATAAATTTAATAAATCCTAGCATCTGTATACGTTTGAGAAAAAACATATTAAATGCTTGCAGTACACCACGTACATAATTCTGAAAACTGTTGTTTTTGTTGAGACTTCTTAGGCCTTCTTGGACGTGCAGACTTTTGAAACTTTTAGTCGGAGTGATTGACGTCTTTTATGATTGACGCTGCCTCGTTTATAATAGCTTAGGTTCATCGTTAATGAAAATCTTTCCTTTGAACACTCTACAATTTTGGCTCACTGACCATTATACTACAACAGTTAATGAGATTAAATATTAGCTCGAGCGATCTAACAACGAACGAATACGCAAGATTGATGGAAAATCACTGATCAGTATAAATTATGGACTTATTTATCGCGTAAATCTGTGCCAATCTGCTGTTAAGTGTAGGCCTAATTACGCTTGCAAATCGGCTGTCATTAATGCATTATGAGGTACAGGTATATGCAAGTTTTAATGGCTTAATAGTTGATCTTCTAACCTTCAATAAAAACCCACTCTGTGCGCACATTAACGAGTGATAGCATCCGTAGTTTGAATTTTCCTGGAAGTGCACTTCTGTATAAAACGTAAAAATATAGCAAACATGTTCTCTGCCTGTAGCAAGTCTTTTAAGTAACACGTTTGCCCTAGAGGGCGGTAGACAACTGCGTAATAAATTCACAGCGAATCAATTTTCCCCTAAATACCGGCATTTAATAACAGTGTAACAGAATCCCAACAAGTGCACTCGTGTTTCTCAATTAAAATCCACCTTTGATAATGACTTGTCTTGTTAAAATAGTAAATTTTATCATGATATATATATACCAACAAAGATGTGTATAAGAGACAGATATATATATATATATATGTTTTGCTCCTCTGCTAAAGGAGCAACTATTTCACTTACAACCACGCATGATAGATTGTTACAAAATACAGCACTGCAAAAACAAGTAGTTATAACATGAACTGTGATGACATCACATGCTTATGTTCTTGTGAGCTATAAATTCTGCCTCGAAAATAAAGAATATAGTAGAAATACTCATCTCTATTCACTTTGATCCAGTTGGACTTTTCCTAATGACATAAAATTAAATAAGTAAAGATCAAACTCAACCACATTGTCTCTCCATTGTCTTACAGTAGATGAGAGGTGAGCATAAAATAGGGTCGGATGGCCAGAGCAAATCTTTGATTTAACACTGAGGGGTAAACTAAAACGATTTATGGAGAAACTTTCGTTTCTAATGTGGTTGTAAAAATATTCATGCCCTGCTTTTATACCACTTTATGTTCAGTTTTTTTTTTGTTTTTTTTTTACAGATGATTGATATCAGGCCTGCACAAGAAGCAGACTTTATCAATCAATCAATCGATTGACTGACTTATAACGTGCATTATAATAATAAAGATTTATAATGGGCATACCTCCACCAATGGTGCTCAAGGCGCAGTGTCAATTTCACCACAAAATAAAAAAAATCCACATTAATTCCCAGAAGAATTTAGAGCAGAATCCGTATACCAATTTTCCAATCGAGGCAGTGTTGCTCCCCATATAAGTATGCGCAGTTGTTGTCTCAATATGCCTAAGATGGTCTCAATATGATAAATAGATAATTTTTAAATTGTTTTTATTATATTATTGTGGGTCTTAGGAAATTTCTATTAGCGTGCATGTGGCTCACAAGCCACACTTTGCCCACATGTTTCCTGTATGAAGACATTCTGATGGTAAACAATGCTTTGTGAATACTTAATATAAATATAATTAAATAAATATTATACCCAGGAAAAAAATGATATATACAGTACAGTATATATTTTTTATTACCTAAATAATGAAAGGTACACCGAATCTGGGGAATAAGCAGTTTTTTTCAGGTACAATTCTTGTACAAAATATAAATATCACATTGTTAACTTTCTTTAGTGAATTTTGTATTTGTTTTGTTGGGTTTTTTTTGTGCTTTTTTTGTAACTTAAAGACCATATATAGGTCTAAATAATTGTGCTGTATGTTACACTGATGTTCAGGTTTGTATAATGTCAAGTAAAGTCAATTCTATTAGTGCACATAATGATACATTTTATTAGAAACTTACACCAAATTATCACACCAATTTAAAAATCATAAAATAAAAGTAAGCTTATAATAAAATCATTAAACTTTAGTTAAAGATTAATGATTTTGATATTGATTCTTGCCATGCAAACTTTCAAGAAATATTTTACTGTTACAACAAAAACCCAGATATATTGCACCCAAACATGAATTCTGTTTCTATAAATATTCATAAGAAGTCTTTTACGAGTATTTGTATGTCAGGAAAATTTAAATAATTATTACCAAAATAAATAATGAAATTTTTAAATACAGTAATGTTATTAAACGCACACTGTACTATTACATGGCGTAATGATGATGGTGATGATGATGATAACAATAATAATAACAATAACAAGAATGACAAAAACAATGAGAAATAGCAGAAATACATTATATTATATCAAGAAATGTATATTTATAAAAGGATCAAATAAATTACTAGCTTGCAATTCAGACCTGGTAGTTGTCCTCTTACCAAGGGACACCAACTTACTCCTAGAATATCTTAGCATACCACCTGGAGTAGACATGTGAACTCCATCTCGGCTGTGGCCAAAGGTTAAGTTAAGGTAATATTAATTCAGTTTCATTCAATACAAAATTGTTTAAATATGGAAATCTTAAAAATTAAATTTAGGCATCTATACAAAAAAATAACAGATGCCCAAATACATTTTGGTACAGATGCTTAAATTTAAAAAACAGTATTATTATGCATCTTTTGGCAAGGGAACAATGAAAATATAACTTATTTAAATATACTAGGTATTAATTTTAATTTTCCTGTTAGTTCACCACAAACAGTATATCCTTATACATATTTACATATAAGGCACCAAAATAAATACTTTAATAAAACATTGAGCATATGGATACAGCTGACTAACATTTAAGAAGATTCCTTTCCTAATCCATTTTTGAAATTAATTTCTCAAATAGTGCTTGGATGTCTGTGTTGCGCTTGGCTCCTATCTGCAATACTTCCTCATGGTTTGCTTCGTCTTCAGTTTCTTCGCCGAACATTATACATTTGTTGGTGATAAGTGAAAGACCAAACACTCTCAAACCGCAATGCCTGGCAACAATCACCTCCGGACAGGTGCTCATACCTGAAAAAATGGAGAAGCCAATACAATACAAAATTTACCAATAATATATATTCTATACAGGGGCGGATTTAGGGGGCGGGGTGCAGGGGGGAAAGAAAAAAAGAAAGAAAAAGAAAAAACGATAGGCCTGAACGCGTCAAATATTATTTTCGGGTGTCTAAAGCACAGAAATTTCGCAGGGGCATGCCCCCGGACCTCCTATTTCAGTGTTGTCTCGATCGGCCCAAATTTCAGCCCCCGCTTTTGGACATCTCTGGATCTGCCCCTGCTATATATCTATTAGCTATTTTACCAAAGGAAACTAAGAGTGAAACCTGTCCAAGAGTCACAAAAAGAATCTAAAAAGAGTATTTCAATTAGTTTATTAAAAACATAACAACAACCTTATTCTGGTTAGTACCTTTCAAGAAACTGTAAAAACAAAAATACTTAAAATTCTATAAGTAATCAACTTTTCCTTACCGACTACATCCCCTCCAACACAGTTTATGAAGCGGATTTCAGCAGGGGATTCAAATGAAGGTCCGGCTACCATGCAGTATACACCCTCACGTAAAAATGATGCATAGCCGAGATCTGTTGCCACCTCATGGGCTAACCTCCTGAGATCATGGTCGTATGCGTTTGAAATTGCTGGAAATCTTGTTCCAAATCTTCACACATAAAAAACAAAGGTGACAATGTATTTATATACTTGTACACATTCTGGAGATGGCAGTGATAGATACCCATACAAATTCTAGCTGTACCTTAAAGGTATTCTTATTTTCTACTCAATACAAATAAAGCAAAAACAATGAGTATTAATGTGCTATTATTATTAAATAATTCTAAATTCTAAAACAATTTAAACTGAGTCTCATAATGAGGTTAAACTGTTACAGGCATCATCACATTCTTTTATTTTCAACCTGGAAAGTGCATACAGTATACCAAAACGTTGGATGCAAATGGGACAAAAAAAATTGAATTACTGTATTTCCCCGCCATATTGCACACAAAAGAAACCAGATGTTACCTTTCAATATTTCTAGGAAATCAATAACTACTGATTTTCAACAGATGTGTAATTTGGATTATAATATTCAGCTTGTTAATTATAGTACCATAGAAATAACAAGCATTAGGGTACTCCACATTCATTCTATACTCAATACAGAGTAAGTGAAATGAGAGTTTTATTAAGGTAACCATAAAAAAATGTTTTTGATTAAGCCATTGTCAAAGCGGCATGGATATGAGTTGTAACTACCCAGCAGGAGAGGTCAGGATTTCACCACATCATGCAGGTTCACGGACCACACATCAGCCTCACCACACTACAAGGAATTCAGGTCACAGCTCAGATAATAAACTGGGATTATATTAGTTACCAGTCATGTTGTTGTCCTACAGTATTATTATAATATACATACATAAATCACATATAAAATATAATACAACATAATTACTATATAAGTACCATATAATAAAAGGCAATCTCAATACACAAGCCTACACATGATGCTCTACATAAACTCATAATTATTATAACAACAACAACAAGAGCACTCAGTAGAGAGCATATCTCCACCCACCGCCAAACTCTTTCTATAAAATAAATGCACTCAGTAGAAAGTAGAAACACCAAAACATTACACACACACACACACAAACTTACACACCTGAAAACATATATCTCCTGGCGGAAAAAATAATAATAATAATAAAAATAATAAAAATAAAAATAATAAAAATAATAATAATAATAATAATAATAATAATAATAATAATAATAATACAGTAATAATAACAAAACGTATTTATATAGCGCCTTATGGATCACACCACCAACCGGGTATTTCTGAGTCTTACGAGGCCTAGTATATGGAGTTGTTTCAATTGTGAGAAAAAAATCCTGATCACTGACAGAAATTGAAAACAGCACCGTGGATTGGAATGCAAGTATCTTAACGATAAAGCTACAGCTCCACTATTTGTTGATGCATGAGAGTTTGATATTGTTCTTCTGTACCTTTCCTCATTTGGTCCTGTTAGTGGATTATTGCCAGCAAGTCCCGGCATATTGATGTGGTCCTTAATGATCATCATGTCCCCGACTTTGTAGTCTCTGTTGACACCTCCTGAGGCATTTGTTACAAACAACGTCTTGACGCCGAGTAGACTCATAACTCGTATAGACACTGTCAGCTGGAAAAGAGGAAAATTTGCCTATATATAAAATCACTTTATTTGAAAACAAAACAAAGGAAAACATAAAAAACCTAGGTTGTGATCGTATAATGGGAACATGCAAGGTAAATGAACAGACAAACAATTACAAAAGCTACTGACACTAACAGAATGAATAAAAGTATACATTACAAACATATAGAATAGAAAGACAAAACAAGGAACCAACCTCATATATTAAGTACTGATAATATTAGTGAACTACAGTATAAACACCTGGTTGGTATCACTTACCTCTGATAAGGAATACCCCTCATAAAAATGGAATCTTCCAAGCATACACATCACCGGCTTTCCCTCAATATATCCAAACACAAACTTACTCTTATGTCCTTTAACTGAAATGAGAAAAATAGTCAAATTTTAGTAATTTTCCTCATCATCATCATCATTATCATTGCCATTATCATCAATAACACAATAACAATATGATCTCAGCCAATCTTGTCACAATACCCAAATGACATTTTACAGGACCCAAGATAATATGTTCAAAAAATATGTAGCATACCAGAAAATGAAGACAGGCATAATGTAAACATACTGATCATTACAGACCGGTAACCTTTCACACTTGAAGTGCGTCATAGCCTGATCTTGCGGACAGACAGGGTACCATGGGTTAATAAGCATGTGAGAAGTCGATTGTAAAGATATTTCTAAGTTGTCATGTCTCTACAATCATGTGATGCCAAGATGTTAGACAAAAAGATGCATCAAGGAAATTAATTTTGAATTGATAGGTTTTCAAATCAATATATAACTTCCCATGATGAATTAGCTCCGTATAAAATGTTGGTTATTGTATGCATTTTAAAGTATCATACTCTCAAACTAGGAGGATATCATGCAAGAAAAAATTAAACACTAATCCACCATAGTAAAATTATAGTATTCTATTCTGCGCATTTTGCTATGCTGTATAGTGCGATGTGGCTTCATTTATTCATTCATTTTTTATTCAGCCAATAACATAAACAAGTTGATACAATACAATTATAAGGAAATTTAACAAATATTTGAGACTATATAACCTACAGTAAGTTGGCTGGATTAACTATGTGAATAACACTCTGGATCTCAGGCTTGTTAGTATGGTCTTAGAATTTTTGAACATACATATACAGACAATAATTAAATTAAAAAATAATATAAGTAAAATTTATTGGAAAGCAAAGCATAACAGATGAAGTAATTAATAGAATGATATTAAATTGATGACATGAACATTAACAATTACAAAATCATATAAATCCAAACTTTCATTTTAAAAAGCAAGGCAATTTGATGTACAGGTATAATAATTCAGTGTTAAGCAATTACTATTATAAAACAAATTGAAAATTGGAATATGAAAAATATAATTTAGTTAAAAAAGCAAACAACAAAGGAAACTAAACAATAATATAGGAGCCTATAAAGTAAAATACATTTGGGCATCGCTTACAGTAAGTCAGCTCTAAATGTACAATCAATATGGCCCTATGCCAAAAATTGTAACACTCTAATAATAATAATGCTTCCTTATGGTGACAAGACCCATGCTCAGCCGATAATTTATCTGACAGAAGTCATTCTTGGGTCACCAGATTGTAATGTCTTGCATCCATTCATGTCTGTTTCTATTTGTTTAATCTATAGGTCAGTACTGCCATCCATCATGTCCCAGACATCACTATATGGAGTATGGGGAAAATGTAGATACTGTACTAGTTGTACACCACAAAATTTAATACCAGTAAGAAGTCAGGGAAGGAGGGAGGGGGATAAAGGCCCCGGATCATCAGACAAACATAGGCCCCTGTCCCCTCATCGAGCCAAAACAATAATTTCATGAACAACCTGAAGAGGTGGAGTTGAATAGCTTGGTGGTTAGGATGCTTGCCTTCCAATCCCAGGGTCCTGGGTTCAATTCCTGTCAGTGTTGCAGCTCCCCATTTCACACTTATAAACATTGTATGTTCTCTTTACTGACATTTTGATTTTGTGTGAAAATAAAGATTACCTGACTCAGACTACAAAGAGGGTTTTTCACCTTAGCCTGACATGCAGCATTCTGTCTATCTTTTTACATTAATTCTAAAACCCAACGATGGTTTTGCTCCCCTTAATTATCCTCTTAAATCTATCACACACACCACATACTGACTGATAATAAAAGGATTATAAGTATAAAATACTGTACAGTATCTACATATTTGCAAACTGTATTATATACTGTACAGAAAACATACTACAGTAAAATCTCACTTGTTGTTTGTGAATCATTAACATAAGGGTTTGAAAGTGTAGGCATAAGTACTCTTTTATGAAAAAGATAAAATGTTTATTTCAAAATGGCACAAAACATTGTTTTTTGCATACTCTTTCAGGGGGAGGGGGTCACAGAAAAGAGTATGTTTTGTAATTAAAATGTTGAAAATTTTGGACAACCCCTGTAAGACGTTTCAAATTATAGCATATAAATATTTAGAATATTTCATTAACTTTCACTTTTCTATATACTACTTCTATATTTTAATACTGTACACACTGTGTATTCATTCCAGAACATCCTGTCAGTACAATGTACAGTATACAGTTGAAAGAAATCAAGAAGTGTACCAACCACACCCTGGTATTTCTGGTTGTTTATAATAGTCCCCAATACTGGCCCCTTCCTAAAGAGCCATACAAATTAAAGTCAATATTTGTAGTGAACTTGAGAGCACTTGTGCTCAGGTTGGATTTCCTGGCTATGATTTAACATGGGATTTGATTGGTTCATCAAGAATGACTGTAGTGTAATACAGATAGTATATAAACTATGATAGGAAATGATTAAGCACAGTATTAAAAAACAGCATTAAAATGAGAATAAACTAAAAGATTAAAGTAAAATATTCAAGTATAAAGATATTTCTAAAATGATATCAATGTCAGTAAACTGTGTACAACACATGAACATTTAACTCCACAACTCACAGTCCATCATTATAGTACAGTACAAATATATTGATACAACAATCATCCATTTCTTTGTGTTTTATATTGCAAATGAATGAAAAATTAAATTGAGGTACAGCAGGTATTCTCAAGGCAAAAAAAAGACAGTGAGAGTTACCAATAAGAATGGTTTGATGTTGGACTAAGGCATGGGACGGGGAGGGGTTACTTTGTTTATATTTAGTGGAAATATCTTGTCATAGACAAGATAAGAATCTCTGATGATTACCTCGCTACAAAACAAGTTGAGTATGATGAAGTTGTTTATTACCAAGTACAACAAACATACTTGAACTTTATCACGGAAGTTGAACAATTATTAGGATACAATTTATCTAGGATTAGCACTTTGATGAATAATATATTACCTTAAGGAGAAAAAAAATTGTTAGAGTACGTGCATTACGTCATGGTATCATATGAAAACACTTCATTACCGAGTAATTAACCAATGTACCACAATGCAAATTGAACTATGTATGTTTACCTGTGCTGACAGGAAAATCAGGTATATCTTCATAGGAAAACACCTCCTTGTGTTCAACTCGATCGCCTAGCCCCGCCAGCCCAGTCCCACAGATGATTCCAATGACAGGCTTGATATTAATCTTTCCTCTGATGAGGTTCGCCATGGATTCAATGCTGTCATAGCTGTATCTGTAATTCAAAAATTTAATTGTGAATACAATAACCAAAATAATAAAAAACAAATTATTTGAGTCAACTTTCACAGTTTGTACTTTTAAGGAGAAATATTAAGGCCTTGTAATAAATTCCACGATGATGAAACAACATGCTACAGTAAATGCCTGAACTTGGACATCTGCAACACTACTGTATACACAAAAAGCTGTTTGCAGTTTGACTGGGGCAAATATATAATGTGACTTGTGTGTGTGTGATGATTTATGTTATATCTAAATATATTTTTAAAAGGATTTTGCTTGTCCTTCAGTTCGCTGCAAGGACAATCTATGCCCTGGTGGCTGTGTTTACATGCACATGGTTGAAACACAGGTGTGGGGGAGTCAGATGGAAAATTGCCCTCCTGTCTGACAAGCATGAGCTCC